TTCTAAACATATGTTTTGTATAATATAATATAATAAACCAAATGGAAAAAAAAATAAAAAAAGCAAGGCCTCAAATCAGTTTTAGCTCATCCATATTCCATCTCCACTCAACAGTAAAAGGAAACATGTAAGGCAAACACGAGCTTACATGGCAGGCTCGTGCTCCTATTGGACTGTGAGGAGCTTATTGATGTCCTCGTATTTGGAAGGACCTTAAGAATCTCATCATTCACCTTCATTGCCCCAAAGAGGGGAGATTTGTCGTCCCCAACTGTGCATTGGGATTGACGACATTACTGCAAAAGTGTGATGGTTAAGTTGCCCTGCGTGAAAATTTCAAAAAAAAATGTGAAACATAAATTGCAAGAAGCAAATAAGCCAAATTTTATGTTCCCTTCGGTTTTGTTATTCAGAATTTTTGTTTGAAAACATCTCGTGTATTCTACTCAACAACCAAACTGATATTACCTCTGGAACTGTACATTATCAACATTGGTGTCTAGTATTACAAATGTTTAATAGGTCTAACCCCCAAACAAAGTAATCACCTCTAGAAAAGGTTGAGCCCGAGAAATGTTTATACAAACTCTTTTATTGTTAGAAAAACCATCTTCGAAATTAGCACCAAATAATTGTTTACACAAGGACTCTTTTCATTTTGTTTGTGTCAATTGAATCTTGCCTTCTTTATGTCTACTTATTTGCTAAAATCTCATCATTTTAAGAAGCATCTGCAGAAAGGCGTAAGCTTGCTTCAGCTGGAACCAACATTCTTGATAGAATGGGTTTAAACATGCTAAAAACTTTATTTAGGCATTTCTTTACAAAGGTCTGGGAAATTTATTTGACAAAATCTTTTCTTAAAACACAGGACCAATTAGGTATGGCTGTAAACAATATATTACTGATTGCACAACGTAAAATGGAATGAGAACTCACAGTCGGAAGAGAGATTGAATGCCAACTCCTGCAAAAAGCCTCCTTATTTTGAAAGTAGCATTTAAACCTACATTACGTCTAGCTATAACAATTCCTTTTATAATTGAAACATGCCGCTTATTCTCTGTACTTCCTACGATTATAAGATCAGAAATCAAACAATTAATAACAATCAGTAGGAAAGAAATCGAAAATAGAAATACCTTTTTCCAGTGAGGAGTGGAGGATATCAATTACCACTTCCAGCTGGACAATATAACCAGGTTATTTCTTTGTTTGTTTTCACTTTCTCAATAACTTCTTTATCAATTATTTGTAGTTTGGAAAGCAAATAAACCCATGTATGAAATAGAGAATGTATATCATGAGGAATTGAGGATAAAGAATGGAAAGAAAAGAGTTAAGCTAAAACTAAAATGTTTGCCTACATGATATGCCTGGCAATTGTATTGATCCTCTTGAATTTGATGTGCTTGGGAACATACTCCTATAAAACACGCAGCAGTAGCAAAGAAAAAATTGTTAAAATCGGGTATGCCGACAACACCGTCGAAACAACAACACTGGCTGCATCTGTAATGGGCGACATTCATAATCGCGACCAACACGCTACCTCTTCAAAACATAAACATAGAAAACAGATCGAAAAAACCAAGGAAAAGAAAAAAAAAAAAA